CCACGTAGAATTAAGGCAGTTCTGAAGGCGAAAGGGGGTCAAACACCGTATTAGTATGGTGTTCCTAATAATCCTTTAGGTGAGTGTATATATACACACACACACTGAATGCTGTTCAGCCAAATGGCTACTTTAATATTAGTTTAAATACTAGAACTCGTGACCATAGGTGGAAATTAGCGGGAGAACATTTTAAACTGAATTTGAGGAAGCTATTCTTTACACAGTGTGTAGTTAGAGTATGGAATAGTCTTCCTGCTAGTGTAGCAGAAGCTAAAACTCTGGGTTCCTTTAAATCAGAGCTAGATAAGATTTTAACAACTCTGAGCTATTAGTTAAGTTCTCCCCAAACGAGCTCGATGGGCCGAATGGCCTCCTCTCCTTTGTAAATTTCTTATGTTCTTATATATATGGATGATAGGGATTTTATATAAAATGCCCATCCGTCCCTGTCCAAAGCTGCTATCTCCACTGGGCAGAAGGTCCTTAACCACCCCCACCCCCCCAAAAAAAAAATGCTACAGGGATGCCCCCCAAATTTCGCTCTCCCCTCTATATGCAAATGCTCTACGTCTTGAAAAAGGAGAGCAAAGATGTGATACATGAGAACACGATCCAGTGTCCCTCACACAAACGGCAGTTTTATTTTATTTCATTCATTTAGTGACTGAGTTTGATCTGTAAAGGACAGAGTGCAGACATGGCCTGTAATGAGAGCGCTGTCCATAGTGGGGGTTTAACAACAGCTCCTTGCGTTACAGTCACGAAGGAGATGTCTTAAAATGACTAATTAATCCTTTTTCTGTGTCCTCAGTATGATTTTGTTTACTCAGATGATTAGTCGTTGTGTTTTTGTGGCTCCTGGTTCCTCCTGCCAGCTCTGCTAAAACATTTCAGACCGACAGAGATGGTAAATTCACCAGCTGCCATCAGAAACAGGCCAACATGAAACAAACGGCTTCTGTTGGGTGGTTCACTTCCTGCTTCCTGCGTTCTCTGCACTCTTGGGACATGGGCGGTCATGCTCCGTCACCTTCTGGAGCCACATCTGTCTCTGTTGTGTTAGAACCACTGTGGTGCATCAACATTGTCTGTTTACAGTTTTGATGATTGTCAAAGACTACAGCGTAACTCATGCAGGACGGTGAGCATCACGTCAGCTCTGTCAAACCACAGTCATGCAATACTGACCCAGCTGTCCATTTCAGAGTCAGATGGGCATGCCCTGGACAAGACACGAGTCCATTACGAAGCAGTCCACAATTTGGCAACCCGCACCCTAAACAAGACATCAATCCATTACAAAGCGGTCCACAACATGGCAACCTACACCCTGGACAAGACACCAGTCCATTACAAGGTAGTCCACAACATGGCAACCGACACCCTAAACAAGACACCAATCCATTACAAAGCAGTCCACAACATGGCAACCCGCACCCTAAAGAAGACACCAATCCATTACAAGGTAGTCCACAACATGGCAACCTACACCCTGGACAAGACACCAGTCCATAACAAAGCAGTCCACAACATGGCAACCCGCACCCTAAAGAAGGCACCAGTCCATTACAAGGTAGTCCACAACATGGCAACCTACACCCTTAGCAAGACACCAGTCCATTACAAGGTAGTCCACAACATGGCAACCTACACCCTAAACACCAGTCCGTTACAAGGCAGGCCACACTCCAGAAAAAATATCAGTCCAAAACATGGCAACCTATATAAACAAGGCAATTGGGTTGCAAGAAGCAGACGTATCGGGGTTACAAAGTCCTCTGACCCTCCTCATCCCAGACAGGATGGTGGGGAAACCTGGAATTGAGTGCAGGCAGCAATAAGGCACAAGTGTGGGGTACAACCTGGATAGTCCATCAGAGGGCACATAACCACTGCAGGCAACATGGAGACAGCAACGCA